CGGAAGGTGGCCTATTTTCAGGCGCTGCGTCATATCATTACGCCTGCTGCTCTCATGGTACAGCAGTAAAGTTTCTTGATTATTACGCAGGAATGAGAGTATAGTTCCTAGCCATATCAGCCTAGAAAATCCCAACTTTACATTTTCCGTCGGTCTTAGTGCACGATGTAACTACAGAAGAGTCAAGTTTTAAATAGGAAAAATGTCGAAACTCTTTGGTGTTTTTTGTTTGAGAACTGCTAATGGTCTTGTCCACTTCAATGATGTATGCTAAGCTATGCTAAAAGTGGCACCGTCAGAACCGGAGATCGGCTGAATGGATTCAAAAACGGTAAAACTCAACAGTTTAACTCTGGGGGAGTTGTAAAATGAGCCTATTTTCAAAAAAAGTGGAGTATCCCTTTAATGATCGCTATCATGATGAGACTTTCATCCACCATAACAAAAAAAAAATCTGTAGAGAATCACCTACTGCACCTTAACCATGTAACACTGTGGTTAGATATACAAATTGTAATCAATCCGCCAATAAACCATTACATTTCTACTATATTAATTACACTTTTAATTATTCACAATTAACTAACTGTATACCAGGAGCGAAATAACTAAAGTAAACGCGGGCGGAGCCCCAGAGACGACAGTCTTGTCCAGTGAGTCAGCTGAGGAAGAGCCAAAGTAGTGCGTGTTCAGTTACTGAACAGTGAAGTAGTTAGTTCAGTTACTAAAGCTTAGCCCGCCATCTAGACACAATCCATGATGCAGTTGCGAATAAGAAAGTATATTGAAGAATCATACGTAGGGTTTCTGGCAATTTTATGTGTTCGTGAGTGAAACCGTATTAGTCTACTTTACTTTACAACAAGGCAACAGACTGTGAGAAGGTAACTTATTGCGTAAGAGATCGGTTTTTGCTATTTTTATTTGATCTCACAAGACGGACATGTAGATAATTGTGTTATGAACTGGACGGACACAATGTTTACTTCAGTTCTTGTGAGTCAGATCATCTTCACGCTGCTCTGCCAGACACTTTGTTATGGTAAGCTTTTCATTTTTGTATAGAACTATAAAGCAGTCTAATTCTAAAACTTATGTTCTTGTACAGTTATCTTTGTGAGAACCAGTTTGAGTTTTAGACCATCGAGATGATGGCAAAGTGGGTATAGTTTGTCCGACTCCTCACTTTCTGACAGGCATTAAAGGGCTGTTTGAGGGATAAGACTTGAGGACTGCGGTCACGCCATCTGTGCTTCAGAAAAGCACGGTCACGCCATCTACGCTTAAAAATATATTGCGCGTCTACACGAGGTTGCGTGGTAGACTCAAGGTGTATGCGGTTGGTGTCGGCTGACTTTTGAAAAAATATTCATAATAAAATAAATAAAATAAAATTGTTTTTAGCAAACTCCACCAGATTCTTGTTCTACATATCACAGACTACGACTGTGGTGATTTTCATGTTGATCTACTGTTTTATTATTTAATAATTAACTGCCAAAGTCCTACACTGTATACCTTGTTATACAGCAAAATTTAATAAATTCATAATTTTTTTAAATCAAATTGTTTTCTGCAAATTCCACCAGATTATTGTTCTACATCTCACAGACTACGACTGTGGTGATTTTCATGTTGATCTACTGTTTTATTATTTAATAATTAACTGTCAAAGTCCTATACTGTATACCTTGTTATACAGCAATATGTAATAAATTCATATAAAAATAAAATAAAATTGTTTTCTGCAAATTCCACCAGATTATTGTTCTTCATCTCACTGTCTACCATTGTGGTGATTTTCATGTTGATGTACTGTTTTATTATTTAATAATTATCTGTCAAAGTCCTATACTGTATACCTTGTTATACCGCAATATTTAATAAATTCAGAAAAAAATCAAATCAAATTGTTTTCTGCAAATTCCACCAGATTATTGTTCTACATCTCACTGACTACCACTGTAGTGATTTTCATGTTGATCTACTGTTTTATTATTTAATAATTAACTGCCAAAGTCCTATACTGTATACCTTGACATATAGGCATATTTGATAAATTCATTTTAAAAAGTATAAGTACGTAATTTATAATAATAATAATAAGTTTAAATAGGATTTCAGTAGCTTGGCTTTCTCAAGCCAACTTAAATACATTTCTTAATATATAAATGAAATACCTTTTTTTTGTACTTAAATAATAAACATATCTATATGTTTATGCTGTGTTTTGGGGGATATGAATTATTATTTATTATTATTATTATTTGGCAGTTAATTATTAAATAATAAAACATTAGAACAACATGAAAATCACCACATTGGTAGTCAGTGAGATGAAGAACAATAATCTGGTGGAATTTGCAGAAAACTATTTTATTTTATTTTTTTATGAATTTATTAAATATTGCTGTATAACAAGGTATACAGTATAGGACTTTGACAGACAATAATTTAATAATAAAACAGTAGATCAATATGAAAATCACCACAGTGGTAGTCAGTGAGATGAAGAACAATAATCTGGTGGAATTTGCAGAAAACTATTTTATTTTATTTTATTTTTTTATGAATTTATTAAATATTGCTGTATAACAAGGTATACAGTATAGGACTTTGACAGACAATAATTTAATAATAAAACAGTAGATCAATATGAAAATCACCACAGTGGTAGTCAGTGAGATGTAGAACAATAATCTGGTGGAATTTGCAGAAAACAATTTTATTTTTATTTTTTTATGAATTTATCAAATATGCCTATATAGCCAGGTATACAGTATAGGACTTTGGCAGGCAATTGTTAAATAATAAAACAGTCGATCAACATGAAAATCACCACAGTCGTAGTCAGTGAGATGAAGAACAATAATCTGGTGGAATTGGCAGATTGATTTAAATTTTTTATGAATTTATTAAATATTGCTGTATAACAAGGTATACAGTATAGGAATTTGACAGACAATTATTAAATAATAAAACAGTAGATCAACATGAAAATCACCACAGTCGTAGTCAGTGAGATGAAGAACAATAATCTGTTGGAATTTGCAGAAAACAATTTTATTTTAGTTTTTTATGAATTTATTAAATATTGCTGTATAACAAGGTAAACCGTATAGGACTTTGACAGACAATTATTAAATTATAAAACGGTAGATCAACATGAAAATCACCACAGTCGTAGTCAGTGAGATGAAGAACAATAATCTGTTGGAATTTGCAGAAAACAATTTTATTTTAATTTTTTATGAATTTATTAAATATTGCTGTATAACAAGGTAAACCGAATAGGACTTTGACAGACAATTATTAAATAATAAAACAGTAGATCAACATGAAAATCACCACAGTCGTAGTCAGTGAGATGAAGAACAATAATCTGTTGGAATTTGCAGAAAACAATTTTATTTTAATTTTTTATGAATTTATTAAATATTGCTGTATAACAAGGTAAACCGTATAGGACTTTGACAGACAATTATTAAATTATAAAACGGTAGATCAACATGAAAATCACCACAGTCGTAGTCAGTGAGATGAAGAACAATAATCTGTTGGAATTTGCAGAAAACAATTTTATTTTAATTTTTTATGAATTTATTAAATATTGCTGTATAACAAGGTAAACCGTATAGGACTTTGACAGACAATTATTAAATAATAAAACAGTAGATCAACATGAAAATCACCACAGTCGTAGTCAGTGAGATGTAGAACAATAATCTGGTGGAATTTGCAGAAAACAATTTTATTTTATTTTTTTATTAAATATTGCTGTATAACAAGGTATACAGTCTAGGATTTTGGCAGTTAATCAATAAATAATAAAACAGTAGATCAACATGAAAATCACCACAGTGCTAGTCAGTGAGATGAAGAACAATAATCTGGTGGAATTTGCAGAAAACAATTTGATTTAAATTTTTTATGAATGTATCAAATATGCCTATATAGCCAGGTAAACAGTATAGGACTTTGGCAGGCAATTATTAAATAATAAAACAGTAGATCAACATGAAAATCACCACAGTGGTAGTCAGTGAGATGATGAACAATAATCTGTTTGAGTTTGCAGAAAACAATTTTATTTGATTTTCTTTATGAATTTATCAAATATGCCTATATAGCCAGGTATACAGTATAGGACTTTGGCAGGCAATTATTAAATAATAAAACAGTAGTTTAACATGAAAATCACCACAGTTGTAGTCTGTGATATGAAGAACAATATTCTGGTGGAATTTGCAGAAAACAAATTTATTTTATTTTTTTATGAATTTATTAAATATTGCTGTATAACAAGGTATACAGTATAGGACTTTGACAGACAATTATTAAATAATAAAACAGTAGATCAATATGAAAATCACCACAGTGGTAGACAGTGAGATGTAGAACAATAATCTGGTGGAATTTGCAGAAAACAATTAGATTTTATTTATTTTATTATGAATATTTTTTTTAAAGTCTTCCGACACCAACCGCATACACCTTGAGTCTACCACGCAACCTCGTGTAGACGCGCAATATATTTTTAAGCGTAGATGGCGTGACCGCGCTTTTCTGAAGCACAGATGGCGTGACCGCAGTGACTTGAGGCCAGTTGCATAAACATATCCGTTAAGACTGCGTCTTAAGAGTATGACCAACTAGAAGTTAGTTAGGGGTAGCCTAATCAGTTTTCGGTATCAAATTAGACTAATCTACTTTTTTATGTAACTAACTTCAAAAAGTTATGAACATCTTAAAGAAAAAAATGTGATGACTAACTTGTTAGACTGCTCTTAGCGGTTTATGCAACGGTCATAGGGTTAACTTAAGGTTAGAATGAGTTTAAGCACTTAGTTGTGATGGTTAGAGAGGCTTGGGATAGGCTATTTAATTGTCCTCACAAAGATAGCCATAAAACGTGCGTTTGTTTGTCACTATCATAATGACAAATCTATAGCTAAGCCTATAGGCTACACTGTCATTTTCATCTCCTCAAAATCATTTAGCACATTCATTCTTTTTATTTTCCTTATCTAAAATCTCTGTAGAACCCACAGAGAAGGACTTGAAGTGTTTCAATGACTATGAGACAGAAATGAAGTGCAGTTTCTGGTTTGACGGCCTCATAAGTTGCTCTGGATACAAACTCAACATCACACATTTTGTAATAGATACGTATGTATTTGTTCAATTCCTCTATAAATATAACTAAAATGATTTACTGTTCATTTAGCAATCAACTGACACTATTAACTCTTATATTGCAGGTTTAATAAATATACATGCATCTTTGAGAGAAGTCATCACAGTGCCGACTGTGAATGCAAAATTAAAGTCGACGGGTTTGTTTTAACAGAGATATTCTCTACTACACTTCTGAACGGAACAAATGTTTTATTAAGCAAAACATTTGTGACAATGGACTTCAGTGAGTATATTTGTTGTCTATATGTTCTTGTTATGCTTTTTCATACTTTTAAATATTCTGAAATAAAAAAAGGTGTTATCTGGCCTTATCTGACACAATTACAAATATGTGATTTTCATTTTCTGCAGTCAAACCAAAAACTCCAGTCTTATCAGTTCAGAAGACTAAAAATGGAGATTTTAATGTAACTTGGGATGACAAGTATGGGAAAACATATTTTGCACAAAGTTTGGAAATACATCTGACCTATAGGATTGAAGGAGGAGATGAAACCGTAAGGAAGATGATATATAGATGATATTAAATGAATTCATGCATATTCACATATAGATGTGTCATAAAAAAATAAAATAAACACTTTGCCCATACAGATGTCCAAGAATGTGCCAAACTCCCAGGGATTCTTTGAGATTGTGGGCAGAAATCTCCAGCCAAACACCAACTACATTCTGACTGCAAGAATGAGCACAAGCTATAACTCACACGAGATATTGAGTTACCAGAGCGCACCAGTTGAGTTCACCAGCTGTAAGTCAATGTGTTTTGTTCTCAGAGTTATTACTGCGTGTGTTTTAATGCTCTTTAATAATCCCGATCAATCTATATGTGCTCCACAGCCTCATCTCCAAATGAATTACTCATAACGATGGTTCCGATGGATGTTGTTTTAATCATCATCATTTGTACTATCTTCATCTGTGTTTTGAGGTGAGATCTCTGTTTTGTGTCTCGCCATCATTCTACATTTTGCATTTTTGCTACAGTATTCCTTTGTGCATCCTTGACAAATTTAGTTCTGACACACTTTACTTCCTCGTTACAGGATGAAGATGAATTGGTGGGACAAGATCTCCAAGCCAAAAATAGACGCCAATCTTGGAGAAGAGAAGGTTGGAGAAAGATACAAATCATGCAATAGCCATCAATAATCATATTACATCATTTATGCAGATCAATCTTTTTTCTTAACCTAATTTTTCTTTATTTTTGATTAATAGGGTCATATTTTGCCTCCTTCCATTATGGACTTCTCCTCAATCCATGTAGAGATTCCAAAACTGGACTTTAAGGAGGAAAATAAATTGTAAGTTTTCCCCAAAACTTCAGAAACACATGACAGACTAGCAACGCTCTAATTCTGATTAATAACGCCTCAACATGTTTGTCTCTCTACAGGATCTCCGCATTATCAGTTGATACAAACAATGAGAAAAGTTCCCACAGTGTTGAGTCAGCAGCAGACGATTATGGCCAGGCTGGTTTTGATTCTGGTAATGACAAGGAGAATTGCAACATCTTATCACGTGTCGAACATGCCCGGGAGGAGGATTTCAAATCCTTTCTCTTTGCCAACAACACACCCAGCAATCAGCGAGTCAAGAGTGTTGATATCAGTTCCTCAAGAGAACGCAACCGTGCAAAAAGAGATTCGGGCAACTGCTCTGGCTCATCGGTTTTCAGAAACATGTCGTATTTGGGATCGGCCAATGATGATTCATCCTTCCTGGGTCAGCTGAGCTGTGATCATTCCTGTCAATCTGACAAGAGGGACATTTCTAGCTTTGAAAACTCCTCTATGAGTGCTGATATCAGCAAGATACAGTTTAACGTTCCCACTAATGATGCTTTGGAAGACGGATATCAGTCCTTCAACAGTGTTGTGAACCAGGGAAATGATGCGGATGTTTGTTTGAAACTTTTAAATGATATTGATTCTGATGAAATGTTCATTGTGAAAAATCTCATTACTAGTAAAAATCCACTATATCCTTCTCTGTTTGTCCATGGTGGCAGCGTCACACCAAGTGATGGTGGGTATCAGGCTTTTGAAGGCTTAACAAAGAGCACAGAAGGACAGTGGAGCACAAGCATCAGAACTGAACAAGCACTTAATGAATGTGGAGCGCTGAAATTCCCCCACAGCACCGGCCAAGATCCCACATCATCAGAGCAGCAAAGTTTGTGGCAAAGTTTGTGGCCCTCTTTTTTGCTTTTTCCACCCACTATTGAAATAGACACTTCATTTCAGTCTTTTTAGCTGCGCTGTACATAACTGAAGCACTGAATTTTTTTATATGTAACATACAAAGTTACAAAGCAACAGTCACAAAGAAATATGACCAGTATAAGATCTATGCAAATGTTCATTGTTTATGTAGACTCAAAGCCATCACCAGTAATAGCAAACTTTAGTTAATGCACTGTGAACTAACATGAACAAACAATGAAGTACTGTATTTTTATTAACTAACGTTTACAAAGATTAACAAATACTGTAACAAATGTATTGCTCATGGTTGGTTCATGTTAGTTAATACATTAACTAATGCTAACTAATGAACCTTATTGTAAAGTGTTACCAGAAGCACTGTGCCTTAAATAATCTAGGAATACATGACGTATGTTTTTTTTCTATTATTTGACATGTTTTTTTTTAGCTGTTCATAACTGAAACATTTATATATTTCATGTAATTTGTAGTTGTTTCACATGAATCACCCATTAAACTATGACCAGTAATAACTATCTTGAATTTCCAATTCTTTGTTTAGACTCCAAAACGTTGAATTCAAGTTAAACTTTCAACAATAAGAGGTTGCACAGTGTCTTAAGTGCTTGAAGAGGTCATGTATTACCATTTAAGTGATAAGCCTCATTTATCAGCGATGATAGAATATTTGATTTGTATTAGCATCTGCCATTGATTACTTTTAACCAGCAACCCAGGCGCATCAAAACTTCAGAAAATAAAGAAAAAAGAAGTATTGAACATAACCAAAATAACTAATTACCTACTTTTTTTTCACAAAGTGAAAGGCTTCATCACAATACTTTTTCTCAGACAGAGTTACTAAGCATAAGTCTCAATTCATAATAATGATGTGAGATGCAGTGATGTAGTAATAATTACTAAATTATGAGTGATAAATAATAAAGACTTAATATAAATGTATTACAACAACCTAATGGTCAGTGAATATGACCATGTAAATAGAAATAAATAAACACACATGAACACATTTAGTTTTTCTTTATTGAAATGTTAAAAACATCAAATAAGCCAAAAAGGTTAGAATGTTTCATGTTGATTGTCAATTGACAAATTCAAAAATCAGACTTTTGTCTGAGACTGAATCTAAAACAAATCCTTTCAATATGACACATTAATTATTGCATATCTACAATCTAATGTAGTGTGATTGGCTAGTGTGTAGTAAAGACATGAAGTAATGTCATCCAAAGATGCACATTTTGTGGAACAAACATTAAAACATATCAAATACAGCCCGAACTACAATACACCTGTAAAGATAACATACATTACTTTATAAACAACACAATATTGGTTTACAACTGTGGGATTACAAATTTAAGAATCTGTTTAAGATCTGCTGATCTTATGTCCTTACAAAACATAACATGAAAAACTAAGGTAGAGTAAATTGAATTTAGCATTTAAGGTTATGATGATGATGATGATGATGATGATGATGATGATGATGATATCAGCTGTTAAGCATGAGATTCCTGCCTGTTCTCTCTATTGTAAGTTAAATGAATCAGATAGGTTGATTGGATTAACATCAATGTATTTGAATGACACTTCAGGGCTGGGCTGGGAAAATTGCTCATGTACTTCATTTACATGCCACCTCGCTGTAAATTCCTCCCCCTTGGAATGTATATAAACTACAATGTATACTGCTTTAGTCAGACTTGATGCAGATGCAGATGTCAAGAAGACTTGTGTTTTTTAAGACCGCTATGTGTAAAGATTCTTATTTAAACCGGTTCTGTCTGTCTTGTGACAAAGTCCTCAGGTCAATGGTCACATAACTATGGGTAATACTTTCGTTATCTGAACCAGCTTATCTGGTATGGTTTCCTGGTAACGACTGCACAGTTAAAGTTAAAAAGTTTCACAATAAAGAAGAACAGAGTGTATATACAGTGTAAAATCATAAGAGAATAAATTGGATTGACATGTCATTAGCTCATGTCATCAGCAGGACCCTGAGAGAAATGCTTTCTTAACTAAACTGAAATGATACAGCTCCTCTTTCATATCTTAAAAGGTGCGCTCATTATTTTTTCCTCATTATGTTATTGTTTTACACATAATACACATCACCTCATGAGGGTGGCAAAGCTGAAATCGCATGACCAGTTAAACACTAGTTTCATCTAGAAACAGAAACAAAACATTACTGAGTGCGCCTTTAAAGCTGCAGTCCGCATTTTTTCCTCTTTGTCTAGCCTCAATGTAATGTCCTTCCGATATGTATCCTTGTTTTCGCATGGGCCGGTTGCTGTCTCTTTTTTTCTGTAGCCACTCCGAAGTCCGAACAAAGTATTTTGCATTTTACAGCGGGTGAGTCTCTAGTTGTCACTGCTTGTCGTTTGAACCTTTCTGGATCCGCCATCAAATTGATAAGTTTAATTATATCAAGTGCTGTGAGAAAAGGCTATAAATCTCCACCTCCAACATCCTCACACTCATAGCCTACTAGCCGAGACTCCTCCTTTATGTGTACAGATGTGACGTAATGATGCAAAGACATGCTCGAATCCCCCGGCGGAAATCCACCAGTACCACTGGGATTAAAAACATTATTACAAGCTAACTGTTTTGAATCGAGCTACGGCAAGCAGATAGCGTTGAACACTGGCTGGTTATGTATTTTTTCAAATATGTATTTTGGATACTTTTTAACCCAAAAAAAGCTACGGACTGCAGCTTTAATGTAATCTCATTTGAAGTATAATTTTACCATAATACAATTCCATTACAGATTTAGGATATCGCAATGCAATTCCAACAAACAATACTTTATCAAAGCATTTACATAGAGAAATTAAAAGTAATAATATTAATTCCATATGTATTTTAAGGTCTCAAAAAAACTAAACAAAAAAACACAAAAAGGCACCTTCTCATAAATCCCGAGTAGTGCTTATACTAATAATTCAATCTTAATTACAACAAACAAATAGTGCAAGTAGTACAACGCTTACTGAAATGTGTCCTGGTTGAGGCTCCAATCTAATACTCCAGTGTATCAGCTGACATATTCTGCATCCTCTCCACCATGAAAAAACACAGCGTTCCTATGAAGCCCATGATGACCATAACGAGGAGCTGCCACGTCAGCAGTATATAACCACTGTAGAAGAACGCCACAGCTGCAAAAATAGACTGAGAGAGAAACATCGAATTCACCTTACTGAATACATTTTATTCATTAAGAAATATAAGGCATATATCCACCTAAATAGATTTTAAATTAAGTGCAATTCCCCATTTTAATGTCTAAATACTAATCAGATTGTAATGAAGCAGCGGACGAGGAGAGATCCGTTTGCAGGATTTATTAAATAACAGCGTCAGACAGGCAAGGGTCGAATACCAGCGATATAAGCAGAGCAGGCAAAGGGTCGGGGCAGGCGGCGAAACAATCAGAGAACAGAGTCCAGGCAGAGAGTAAGGCAGGCAGGCAGCAGACAACGAGAGGTAAGGTCCAGATAAAGTCGTAACAGGTAAACAAACACAGGGTACAAACGCTTAGAATAGTTCACTGGGAAAGCAATACTTCGCCCCGAGTGAATGTAAAAACCAGGTATTTATGGTGTGAGAGAAACAAGGTGATAAGACACCGGGGAATGAAATGAGTGCTGATGAATCCGGGCAGTGAGTTATGGGAAATGTAGTTTGTGAGGAAGTGATCATAGTCTATTGTGGAGCGCCCTCTGGTGGCTCTCGAGGGCACTCCAGCTGGTGATCGTTACACAGATATTGTTCTGACGTAAACCAGCAGTCCTCAAATGCTCAAAATACCACGTATCATCATCAGACTACCGTACAATCATATCAAGTACCATCTTCCATGCAAGTAGAATGACGGCTAGGTATTAGTCTAATGATTAGATGCACAAAAATACATACAGTAGATGCACAAACATCTGTCTGTGTCAATTTGATTTGATTTTTATTTATGTATTTTTATTTATTTATATAAATTCTCACACACACACAGCTTTGGAGTTGGTAAGATTTTTAAATGTTTTTGAAAGAATGTTCACCAAGGTAAAATACAGTAAAAACAGTAATATTGTTAATTATTACAACAATATTATAAAAACTATTTTCTATGAAGATCCCTTGATCTTCTGTAATTCTTTCCTGTGATATCAAAGATGAATTTTCAGCATCATTACTCCAGTCTTCAGTGTCACGTGATCCTTCAGAAATCATTCTAATATGCTGATTTGATGCTCAAGAAACATTTTGTATTATTATCAATGTTAAAAACACCTGTGATAAAAAAAATTCTGGATTCTTTGACGAATAGAAAGCTAAAAAAAAAAACAGCATTTATTTGAAATATACTTTACTGTCACTTTAGATCAATTTAATGTGTCCTTGCTGAATAAAACAATTAGTTTCTTTAAAAAAAAAAAAAGTCATACTGACCCCAGATTTTTGAACGATAGTGTATTTGCATAGTTTATATTGCCCCATATGGCAGTGGCGTAGGTTTGATTTTGAAATTTGTGGGGACGGGGACATCAATGTATAAATATATTTTAAATTTTGATTGAAATTATTGCTAGGGATATATCAGTGTCACTGGATATTGGTAGGGACACGTCCCTAGCGTCCCTACTAAATTCTACGCCCCTGCCATATGGTACATCACATTACTATGCAAAACTGCAAACTGGCCTGTGTCTTCTGTGATTCAATAGCAGACTTGTTGATATGAATCTTAGGCTCTGTTTACACCTAGTATTAAGATGCGTTTTGGTCGATCAGGTCACATGTAGATGAGGGAGACACATTCCCGTTTAAACCCGGTGTTTTAATCCATCTCTTTTGTCCACTTTCAACCACTTCTGTCCTGATTTCTTTGAGGGAAGGGTCTATGGGCAGTAAATCTATGGGCTTTTTCAGGTCTTTTAATCTAATGGACAAAATAAGCTCGCCCCAATTCACATATGAACCCACCTGGACACAACGGAAAAACATACGGAGAGCATTACCTTTAGTTTCTGCTCTGACAGCCACGACTCTGACAGCCACGAAACCGCGCAGAACGCTGTGAGTGTGTGTTAGAAATCAGGAATGGTGAGAGAACACTGTGCTTGGTAAGCTTTTTGTCTTCCAACTAAACTTGGGTATACAACCGACAAAGTTTAAATCCCGTCTGGCTAGCGCGCTTCCCATAATGTCTGCATTAGGTCAGTCGGCGGAGAGTAGGCGGTCATTTGTGGCTCACATTCGACCACATGAGCGTTTGCAATCCGAATGTGTTTTCGACTACGTCTGGAAGTGGTCGAAAGTGGACAAGCTCAAAACTGTATTTAGCCTCGTCCACTTCTGATCCGATCGACAAAAATTCATCTTAATACTGTGTAAACAGTGTTGAATAAATGCAAAATGTCTTTACCTGTATGAATTTAAATATAGCAAAGGCTGGTGCACTCTGCTCGGCATACGCCCGTCCCAGAATGCTGTAGAGTTGAGTGTTGAAACAGCTGTCCCCGAGACCCAGCAAGAAGCTGCACAGCAGGGCTATGGACAAGCTACAAGAGTGAATAAAGTTCACCATCAACAATGCAACACTGCACTATTTAGGAAACAAAATGTAGCTCAGCAGACAATCTAAAGCAGCTTAAATTGCATTCAAGGTATCCATTTTTATCATTTCATTCATTCTGTGGGAATCCAACCCATGACCTTGGCAACACTGCTTTGTTTTCTAGATTTCACTTATATGCATTCTTCCCCCCAAAAAACAAGTTCAGCGCAAACTTTGCCCAGCAGCCAATTCTTAAGATTTCATTGGTCATGTCAATCACAGTGCTGATTGCCTTCACAGTGCTACACCAAATGCTAACCCCTGACCCAGTAGTTCTCAAACCTTTTTGGTCATGTCCCCCTTTAAACTTACCTCACCTCTGACTACCAAATAATTTCACTAAAAATTAAAAATGTAAAGATTCTTTTTAAAACCCTCTGGTACAGTAAACATAATTTGTTATTTTTTTACTACATCGCAATGGTACGAAACTTAGTAAAGGTTTTCACACTTCCTATCTTAACTTTATGGACATGATTTGAAAAGGTTAAATAGTCCTGAAAAAAATAGTCACACTTGTACTGTTCGTGGTCAAAATTACCATATTGGAAACAAATGGGAAGCGAATTTCATCTAGTGGAAACTTTTGATACTGTGCCCAAACAAAATCTTACTGAAAGTCAATGGTCTGAAGAAGGAAGTTTTAGAGGATTTGGCATCCTGTGCTGCTATAAAAGGCAGAGAGCCAACACTAACACTATTTCCAAAGCTGTTTTCCGTGCCATGCACTGCAGTACGCCCCACACTTTGAGAACCACTGTCCAAACCTTATCTTTCACCTAACCTTAACCAATGAAATTGGCTGCAGGGCAGGATTTGCACAGAACTGGTTTGAGGGAAAAATCACGCCATTTATATTATTACATATTGTTATACCTTGGTGCCAGATATGGCTTATGCTGTGAGCTTGTTTGAAAAACCACAGGTGCATCATCTGGTATGTTGAGGAATATCAGGTAGAAGGCCACAAAGTGCACAACCATCCCTAAGAAGACAACTGAAGTGCGCCTGAAACGGTTATTTTTCAATACAAGTCCAAACAATCCTCCCCCTGCAGACAAAAGACAACATCTAATCAAGCTTCAGTCTTATAAAAGTATATTGCGATTGGATGACCATAATACCAAAATGCAATGGTAATCAAAGTAGATGTCTCTTCATACTGAAAGTGACTTACCAATTATTTCTCCGATTCCCACCACAATGCCTGAAATGCCGATTAAGCCTTTTGCTGCATCGCCAAAGTGTGTCGTAGCTCCAATGCAGGTTCCATAAACTCCACTGTAAAATGACAGCTCCAAGCCTTCAATGAGACAACAGGAATCAAAACATTTTCCTCATTCTCAAATTCTCAAATTAACAGATGTTTCCTTTAGTCTTTACCACTGTATGCCATGCAGAAACTTAATAACATTATGGTTTTTGTTTTGAACAGTTCCACAATCGTCTCTAAAAGAAAACAGACAAAAGAAAAAAAAATTAATAACTGATGAACCAGTACAACAATAGTCCAATTTGAAAATAATTATTTGAATAATTCTTTAATGAAATAATTTTATAACAAATAGGGAATTAAGGAAATTAAGCCATATGAACTTACTAAACTCTGTTTTAGCTTCCGTCACAGCAGATGTTGCTCTTTGTGTATATCTAAAATAACATTACACAACAAAATATATAAGCTTCCAATGAAAAATCAAAACAATCAGTATCACCATTTTTGTGTTTTATAGTTTTTTGTCTATTGTTTGTGTAATGATGGAGACACATCATTTCCAGTTATTACTGCAAATGAATTTTTTTTTTGTTCAAATGAGGAATATCATAATATGTACCTTATTATTGTGGTGGGTACATTAAAAATATCAGCAGGGCAAGTATTAATCTTATTATCTGGCTAGAATTCGTATTGTTGGATCTGTGAAAGAGATCATTCATAATTACGGTTGACTTAATGAAAGAGTGAACTTACATTAATCTTGCCGATAACAGAGACTGACCCTCCTCTTCAGACAGAGCCTCTTCCAGCTGACAAACCTTCCTCAAGGCAAGAAAACTTAGTGTCCCGAGAACTGAGATAACCAGCAGAGCCGTAAACATGATCTTTCTGTCTTTATCTGCAATAAAGTGATAGAAACAAAAACAAAAATGGACAAACGTGGAAAAAAAAAAATCTAATTTTGAAATATTGTCATTTGAGAGTAAGTAAATAGACAGGATATATTGTGTTTAGTAGTGATTAAATGAGTGCTGATTAGCATAAACAAAAGAATAAACACAATCAAATATGATGTTACCTGAAATTTCAGTTTTTCCTTTCCAATCAAAATAAACGTATAGATTGCCAAACAACATACTGGAAAGAAAACACACATTTTTATATAGGTAATCCAATTTCATATTCGTAATACAATTGGTATTACTGATCAGGTTAGTATGTTTGCATAACTATTCCAATATGGCTTTCTTTTTTTCAGTTAACAAAAAAGGCAGTGGGGTGCGCACACCTCCGAGGGGCAGGGGCAAAATTGGGAATCCTAAAAGATTCCTCTGATCCTAGACCAGTCTTTGATCGCGAGTTTAACATGTCCGATTAATGACCATTAGGATCAAATTTGACCTCAAATGAAATTCTGGCAGTATCAGAAGATTTGATGCACACAGTCCTGTAGTGTGACTTCTCCTACGATAACCGTCATATCAAAAACCACCGACGGGTTTTCTTGCGTGCGTCTGTTTTTACCGCGTCTTGACTGCCGTACAGTCTGACATTAAAGACGACTGAGATCCATCAGTATGACATGGCTTTCAGCAGGGATCAAGTGTATACAATCTGACAAGCAACAGTCGTAAAGGACTATTATAAATTGTGCAGTGTGCACCCGGCTTAAGTTGTGGGAACAAATTGTTCATTTGTGGCCCCGATATACATATTTTATGTGTTCGCATGTTATGTGTTCCATGGTTCCGTAATTTGGAATGCCAGAGGAACACATTATCTGAAACATATAATTTGCCAAGCCACATTATTTTTAATTTGTTGCGCCTGTGTTGTTAGTAGATTACCCACACCTGATTATCATCATCAACTCTCCTAATTTGCGCTGCTCCTGGAGATTGCATTGGTCATAATGGAAATGAGCTGCGTCTGTGTTCTTTAATTTGTAGAACTTTACATTCCCATCAACGCTTTAATGTGATTGCGGTTTCACGATAATTTGCCCCCGTTTAATGAATTTGGCCTTTAATATTCCATATTAGTTTACTGTTGATAATCACAGCTGATTGAGGGTAATATGTTAGTGTGAAGAATAATTTTTGGACAACCGTGAATCAGGCTGAGCTCTCTGTAAACGTCTACTGCTATATTTTCTGGTACCTGCACTGCAGTAAAGCCCAAAACAATCCTGTGTTCCTGTTGATGGTGGAAGCATCCGAGTTCTCAACTAGAAAGTGCCCTTGGGCTGTCCAAAGCACTGTGGATAGAAAAAGGGTAGGTTGCATTATATTATATTAGATTATATTTAAATAAATTGAGAGCTAATATGAGTCATTTTGCACTACTTAATTATAAATATCCTCTTAACAAATGAATGATTAAAACCTTTAACTATCATTTAAACCATCACCTTTGATTCATTTTGACAGAGAATGATTGATTGACCAGTGTTACAAAAAAAAATGCAAGTATACTTTCTTTTATGACAGAAATGGCCTCTACCTTTGCTTGGGCATTAAACAAATGTAGAATCTCATCTGCTGTAGAAGTATGTACTGTACATAAAAGACTAACCAGACAGGCTGAGAAAACGAATGCTAGATTGACGCATTTTTGCCAAAACCATTTATTTCTTTAGAAACATATATATGAAATACACAATGTATATGATTGTGTGTTTCAAATATCTACTTACTGGCTGCTCCAATGCCAATTACCACTGATGTAAAATAAAGGGACCATGTGGATGGAATGATGAATACAGCTATATAACCACTGAAAAACACACAGAAGTAAACCATACAGACAACTGTTGCACAATGACTTCATAATGTACAGTCACAAAAACATCTGTGATACTTGCCTATAAAGAATTCCACTGAAGAACATTGCAAACTGTGGTCCAATTATTGCAACGATAGTGGGAGCTAACACATTACAGAAGGAAAAAACTCCATATATTATTCCAAGGCTGTGGAAAGAAAAAAGGGGAAGATTTTATATATCAGAGTTTATTTGCTCTTAAATTAAGTTCTTAATGTTTTTGTGCAGCCAGAACCTTCTGTTTCTGACATTGGAAAATGTGACATTTTAGCCTCTACTCTTATAATAGATCATAACTAAACTTAAAGTGCTGCATATGATCTCTCATGCATTTTGCAAACTCCAGCTGTGTTCAACTCACTAGAATTGAAAATATTTATGTCATGCCGCAACCTACAGTGACTTTTTCAACCACTTTGAATTTATCCAGTGTAGAATTCAGTGATTTTGTGCTTCAGAAATTCTTCTCTTAATTTCTGTTTATTACCTGTTCATTTCTGTTTATTATTCTGTTTATACACTGCAAAGTTTCTGGATTGACAACCGTATTTAAATGCACATTTGAATCAGAAACGGCGATGATTGACAGTGATAACCAATAGATGAGACAAAAAGGGACACAAATTGTTTAAGTAGTACTTAATTCAACAGTTTATGCGAAATTGATACCGAGAACTATGAAATTTTACTGGTATTGATACAGATTACTGAAATTTTAGCACAGTGACAACCGTTAAATTAGACTGAAACAAAGATGCTTTACAGTGAATTGTATTATACTGTATTTAGGCTATATGTCCATCATAAATAAAAAAAAAAGGTAAAGGACTGGGGGAATAAATCTTACCTGTGATACCCACTTCCAGTGAAGTTAGTGCTATTTAGGCTTTTCACCACTGTTTGCTAAAAGGAAATAAATAAACAAATAAATGTCTTGCTGTTCACCTAAATAGTCTAAATAGTATACAAATGAATTTTTAAACATTGTATTTTTTTTATATTTAATGTAGTCTGTCTGTCAATCAATATGAAGTCTGTCATGTTTTGAGTTTATTTGTTGATGTTTAGAGTTTGTTTTTTATCTGTTTCTCTGTTCTGTTCATGTTTGAATGTCCTTGTTAACCTTCTAGTCTTTTAATTGGTTCAAAATGAATTGGCTCCTCTGTTCTTTCCATTGGTTTCCATGGTTATTGATTGAGTTAGTTCAGTTCAGGTGTGTATAGTTGATTTACCCTCTCTTATTTGTGGTGTATTTAAGCCCAGTATTGAGTCATGTTCAGTTGTCTGTCTTCGTCTGTGTACCGTTGCCTTTTCCTGGTTGTTCAGTTCTTGTTTTTGAATTCCTAAGGCCGGGCATAGACTGTGCGATTTTGAGCTGAATTCTGACTCGTGCGACTCTTTTTCGGATCGGGCCGATTATCAGCTTTGTCGTGCAGTGTTCGTGCAGTGTACAGGGAGAAACCTCCAGTTCGTGTTGCAAAATGGATTAACCATATATTACCCACGTCTTCCAAGCACCCTGCGCTATCTCTAGGCCTACACCATGCCTCTTTTATTAATTTCTTAAACAATGTTTATGAAATAAAGCTGTTTTTCATTTTAATTGATGACTAATTATTGCAGTGTTCGGACATATTATAGACTGTTAATAATTTGTATTATATGCCTATAATTCATTGTAATCGACCTAAATGTTTTAGACAATTTTCAATGAGGAGTAAGCTTCTATGTAATATTTTATTATTCTCACAGCGCGTTGGTTATGCGGTGATGCATATGAAATTTTTGTGTGGCAAATTAATTATAATAGCCTATCAATTTAATAATAAAAGTAGCCTAGGCCTTCCCTAATAATAATACTAATAATAATTTAATACATAAATTTGAAATGCTAAATCATCTTGATATTGATAGCTGATGCTTGTTTTGACAATATATCTGGATACATGATATCGTCTATAGGTGCAACCCGGCACGGGGGCTTATCGCGCATATTTCACACGTATGGTCAAGCCACAGCTCGACATTCGGACCGTATAGTGTGAGCACATAAATCCTGAGCTTTGGCTTTCCATCGCATGCGATCTACTCATTCAGTGTGAGTAGGTACCGTGCTGAAATCACACAGACATCGCACAGTGTATGCCCGCTTTAAGATTCCTGAGTATTTCTGTTCTCTTTCAAACAATCGCTCGCTATCTCACTATGGGAATACCTCTGGGCGTGACAGATCCTGGAAGTATCCATCACACCACGTCTATCAGTTGACAGACCAATCACGACAGTGATGCGGGAGTCCCACCTCCCTAATATATACCACTGCCGGTGGTCCCTACTTCATTCTCGATCTCTTCCCCGTGAAGATCAAATTGGAAGCTATCCTTCAGCAGGACCTGTATTCAAAATAGTTGTTTAACTGTTCTGAGACGAGCCGTCAAGGTACGTCACCGAACGCAGCTGTTTTGTTAGCGGGTCTTTTTTTCTTCTTCACTGTAACAGTGATTTTATTTGATTCTGGTATACTAAGAGAATTAATGTGTTACGACAAATTCTCTTATATATTCCTTTTTTCTGAGTTGCACGTTGTGGTGAGCTTGGATAGACTACTATTATTTACTATGGCAACTACTAGTTCTGCAAGCGGCGGACCGAAAGCAGAAACTTCACGTCCGTGTGCAATGATATCAGGCAAGGATCCTCATTCTGTGTGCATCGCATGGACCCTGGGGGTGAGACACGCTCAGGCAGCCCTCGCGAACCCCAAGGGCTGTCCTCACTGTTCTCTCTTCCTGTCAAGGGTGCTAGAGAGAAGAGTGCGGGTCGCGGCCACTAACAAGGGAGATCCCTGCTTTTCTCCGCCGCCCGCAGAGGAGACTAAACAGCCCCCTGCGTCATACAGCTGGGGCGAATTTATGGACGTAGTCTCCCCCCAACTACCTCCCCTCTTTGGATCCTTTACGGATGTAAGAGAGGAGGACGACGATGACACAGAGGCCATCGCTCGTCTGTTGGAGGATGAAGGTGAGGAGGATGACGACGACGCAATCCTCCCGCCGAATCCCTCCCGGCCAGGCAGCGCGTTAAGCGAAGGTTCACCCTCCTCAGCTCAGGCGGAGCTTATGGAAGAGATGGGGAGGCAAATGGATGCTGGGACACCAAACCCAGCCCTCTGGGAAGAGATTTGTGTTATTGCAGATCTCAACCTGGGAACTTCCAGAGGTGCGGTCCAGAGCTGTGGCCGCAGCATGGGCCTGGCAGTGGTCGGCGAGCGAGCTCTCTGGCTGGGGCTGTCAGACAGAGGAAAAAAGCAGACTTCATGGATGCTCCAGTTGAGCCCAAAGCCCTTTTCGGGGCATCGGTCACTGCTATGCGACAACGGTGTGATCTAAAGAAGCAGGAGGATTAGGCTTTCCAAACTTGCCTCCCTCGCCATTGATTCCGCCGTGGGATCTGTCTGTGGTCCTCAACACACTATCCCAGCCCCCTTTTGAGCCTATAGAGAGTGTTGAATTAAAGCTCCTTTCGCTAATGGCTGCTTTATTATTGGCTCTTTCGAGTTAGTGAACTTCACGCGTTATCGGTTCATAACTCCTGTATGCGGTTCGCTATGGATTACTCGAGAGTATCTCTCAAAACGAATCCAGCGTTTGTGGCTAAAGTTAGCGAGTCAGCTCTCGCCTGTAAACAGGTGGATTTACTGGCTTTCCATCCGCAGCCTTTTTTCTCATCAGAGGATGTGCGGCTACGTTGCTTGTGCCCTGTTCGTGAGTTGCGTCACTATGTGGACAGAACGAAAGCACTAAGGAAGAGTAATCAGTTATTTGTTTCATGGGCTGATTCTCATAAAGGGAAACCTATTTCGCGTCAGCGCCTGTCCCACTGGGTATAATGGCATGGGTCTCTGTCCTCCGGGAAGGGCTGAGGGCTCATTCTACCAGAGGTTTGGCTACCTCATGGGCACTGTTTAAGGGCGTTTCAGTTCAGGACATATGTGCAGCAGCAAGTTGGGATTCGCCTCACACATTTGTCCGATTTTATAGACTGGATGTCACTGAGCCATCACTGGCTCAATCCGTCCATAGTGTGTAAAAAAAATGTTTTTTTAAATCAAACAACACTCGTTGTGGTTTGTTTATGTTACATACATCACTGAGTTGGTTGACATGCCTGCTTCAGACAACATCTCTGCAATACGGGAGTTGTCTATATCCCATAGTGAGATACCGAGCGAATGTTTGAAAGAGAACTTTAGGTAACCCCGGTTCTCTAATAACATGAGTGAGGTATCTCACCACCACACTTCCCTCCTTGCAGTGCATGGAGAAGAGATATGCAGAGAATGAAGTAGGGACCACCGGCAGTGGTATATATTAGGGAGGTGGGACTCCCGCATCACTGTCGTGATTGGTCTGTCAACTGACAGACGTGGTGTAATTGGTGCTTCCAGGATATGTTACGCCCAGAGGCGTTCCCATACCTCACTCATGTTATCAGAGAACCGGGGTTACGAAAGTAACCTAAAGTTAGTTTGAGTTAGTTATTAAAGCTCCAGTCCGTAACTTTTTTAAGTTAAAAATCATCCAAAATAATTATATAAAAAAAAAACTATTCTGCCAGTGGCCAAAACTATCTGCTTGCCATAGCTAGATTCAAAACGGTTAGCTTGTAATAATGATTTTAATTCCAGTGGTACTGGTGGGTTTCCGCGGGAAATTCGAGCATGTCTTTGCGTCATGACGTCACACCCGTACACATAAAGAAGGAGTTTCGGCTAGCCGGCTATACTGCGCATGACAAGATGTTTAACGTTAGATGTATAGGCTTTTCTCGCAGCACTTTACATAATTAAACTTATGGCATCCAGAAAGATCCAAACAACAATCATCAGTGTCAACTGGAGATTCAGCAGTTATAAAACCCAAAAGACTTCGTACTTCGGATTTAAGGTGGCTAGAGAAAGAGAAAGAAACCGTCTCATGCGAACACAAGGATTTAAACATCGGCGGGGCTTTTGAAAAGTGAGTGAACTCCGTGTTTTGAAGGGGTTCAAAACGGAAGAAGAGACAGCTTTTTTCTGCTGAACAAGTAAGACATTTCAATAGTTCAATCGTGTAACAGTACGTTTTCTTAATTCACACAGTTATGGAGTTTCCTTTGTTGTGCCTTTCTCGTTTTGCTATTATGGAGAATATGAATTCTGAACTACGCAGGTAACCATAAAACACATTAAATTTAACATTAGTCACGCAATGCTGATGTTGTTAACATGAACAATTTGAGAACAAAGTAGGCTATAATTTGCACGGTTGCTGTAAATCGCGTTGATTAAATCTAACGAAGCTTATCATGTCGAATGCTTTTTCCCCCTTAGTTGGTCAGAACAAAAATGGATTTTACTTACTTGTTCAGAAGACATTTTCTTATGAAAATTCTTATGTTGGTCAAACTTTCAAAAAGTAAATCTGTGATTCTGTATGACAGTATCCACACAGCGCGGTGACTGACAGCAGCACTCGCCTCAAAGCACTGTGTTCATCCGCGCTGTTTCATGCCGATTTACAACCCACGTAAAGATAATAATTCCGCGAATCACTGCAGTTACAGATTTCGAACAGAGAGATGGCGACAAAGAGGAAAAGATACGGACTGCAGCTTTAATAAAGACTGCTGCACTAAGATCCAGTTCCATCTCTGCTGCGACCAGGACAGCGACAAAGTAATAAAAACAGCATGTATTAAAATAATAAAACTTTAAAATAGTTGTAGGCTACATGAAGCATCATTGTGAATATTTTAAAGATGGTTAATTTTGCATTAGAACGTTCAACACATTTGGAATATTTGTTGAATCTCAAATATGTAAGGCATCCTTTTTCATGTTACATAGTTTGTGGGTTTTTCTGTGTGGAGTGACTGTGGTTAACATAAGTCCACCTTGACATTCGAATTTGTTCCTCCCATTAGTCATGCAGGATAATTCATTGACTGATGGGGGGAAATCAAAAACACGAGATGCGACTGACCCGGATTTACTTCAACAATGGACTGATAGTTTTCAGTTTTATTGAATGTCGTTTTTTTTTTCACAATATAAAATACTGAAATAAAGCTGAAAAATTGCCTTACAAAAATTCTTTACTTTACTGCAGTACAACTGTGTGAATAAAATGATAGAAAGATTGTCTGAAGCACGTTTAGTCGTAAAATAACTATGTGCCATATTTTAGTAGACACTATTGCTAAACTACATTTTACTGCAAAAATTTCCGTACAGCAAAAGTTTAAACCAGTTTTAACACAGCATGTCTTTGTAGAATCATACATCTTAAACTATAGTTAATATCATGCAGTATGAATGCAAGATAACTTACTTCGATGTTACCACAAGTGGTGAAGGCTGTAAAAATGAACAAAAATCCTATTCCCAAAACAACAACATTATATGTCCTAATGTCCGCCATCCTCGCCTCATTTAAATCCTCGTGTAAGATGCCAGAGTTTCAGTCACTGATTCTTGGTCCATGTGAATAAAAACAACATCCAGGAAAACAAACTGTTAGGGGGGAAAACAGAAGTTGTGTACTTGGTAATCTAACAGTTACTGCATGTTGTATTATTGCATTATAAGTTAAACGGTTGCGAATACAAGTCCGTGGTCACAGGAGTGCACGCGTCTCGTGACCCTCCTCAAGAATGAGATGAAAGTTGCTGGAATGCAAAATCCATGTGATAGTTTCCGTGGCAACTACTTCACAATGATTGCTATAATACATAACCTACATATGTGGGGGAATACCGAACTGTTGCTTCAGGATGACCTAGTACATTGTCGTTGAATCGTTGAGCTAAACTTGATAACGTTACATTTTCAGTTTAATGTATCATTTAAGGGCGACCAGTTATTCTAGGTTAGCTACAGCATTGTGCTAGTTACACAGTCTGTTAAAAACACTGTGTCATTGCAATAACTTACCCGAATTCACAGACTGTAAACTTTACTGTAAACGTAGTTGCTGCTGCTGCATACGTCACACGCGATCTTTAAAACCAGCAGCGATTGAGAATAGAATAGAATCTTGTGAATGGAATGTTCAACAATAATGAAATTATTAGTTCCGTTGACTTGTTTACATATTTCTTTCAACGGTTGTAGATTGTGTAAGCGCTGAGAGATCGCCAACCCCTCAAGGTAAGGTAGGTTAAGTTTACGCGTAGATCATCAGTAGATATAAGCACTATCCACACAGCGCATGTCAATCACGATTATTTGGAAATCATCGAACGTTAACAGGCTACGTCACATCTGGAATAGTCGTTATATTATTTTAAAAAAAAAATCACTTCAGCCTTTACAGACAAAAAGACAATAAAAACAATATTCAAAGAGAGTTAATTACAATACATGAACATCTAAGATTACAGAATAACACCATAGAGGAGTACATTAAGCATCTTATTCGACATCAATCTTTCTTTATTACAAAATTAATTTTAATTACTTTAGTAATCAAAACCTTTTCTAATCTTGACAAAACGCATATCGAGTCTCAAGGTTCCATATTTTGTGATAGAAGTGACATTTTGACAGAAATGTATTCATTTGCTACAGGATAAGTCATAAATAAAATGGCACATGGCTATTTTTGGTACAGCGCCTAAACAAAATCTCCTACGAACTTCAATTTTTGTGTTATCATCTTCAATTTGAGAGTTAAAACGTTTTTTTTTTTTTTTTTTTTTTTTTTTTTTATATATATTTAGTAAAATATATGATCTTTATATATAAAATATATATTATATATAAAATATATATATTTTAAAACTAAAAAAATATTTAGTACAATACATTTGATGTACAGTAAATTTATACTTTCATAACTTTTTCATACTTTCATCTGCTTCATATAGACTACATCTACTGAGGTCTATATTCCAACCATTTATAAGATTGGATAGTGGATTTTTACGTCTATTCTCAAAAAGGAGACTGACAGTTAAGGGGTTAATGTGAAAAGGAAAATATATTCAAAAACTATAATAATTGTAAAAAAAAAAAAAAAAAAAAAAAAGCCTAATTGTTTCTTCAAAGTGAGCACAAAAGGAAAAATTGGGTTGGGTGAAATACTGTCATTAACATTTGAAAGTTTATAGTTTACTGGATAACAGTTATGAATAATTTACAAAAAAAAAAAATCAACAACGAAGATGCCAGAACTGTCACTGAATTGATGATTCCAAAAAACACGTACGGTGCAAACACCAGGCCTAGCCTAGGGTCCAGTTGCATAAACTTCGCCACTGTGTTAAGACTGTGTCACTAGTTTGATTAACTAGCAGTTATATGACTATACGTTTTTTATAATTTGTATACAGTCTATGCTTTTAAGACTAGTTTAAGCGGTTTATGCAACCGGCCACAGATTTTAAAATCGCAAAGTCACTACGGGAAGCTGCAGAGCTCATTCACTGACAGCACGCTCTTTCCCAGAAGCCTTTCCTCATATTGTACACAATCATCATGGCGGCGCAGGATGGTAGGTAGCATGAAAATGTACTTAAATGCCATTTCCCCTGTCTTTGCGGTGTTGTTTATATGCGTATAACATCCGTTACAGTAATTTGGAACTTGTATTACAGTGAATGGATGTTGCTTTAACTTGTCAGGGTTAAATAAATTGCTAGATATTTTGTGATTAGCCCAAACAGCCATCTCAAAAACTTCGGCTGTGTCACTAAATCTAGTGAACTATCTACCTAGATGGCATTCTGGGGAAGAATTGAGCGCGCTTGAAACGTTTCTAGAACGTTCGATCATTGGAATCACGGGAGCGTTTGCAACGTTTAAACAAAGGTTTCAATCGAGCCCATTTCAATTGGGCACCAAAGATGATGTCTATATAGGCAGCTCACTGACTTTTGAGACACAGTCTTGATGTGAGCTTGCGAATATTAGCACAGCGGGCTGGCTAAGTTACCGATGAGTCAGTTGTGTAAGATTACAACACAGCCTTTATTAGGTCCGTCATGGTAACGGTTATTGGTCTTAGTTCAACAGTTGGGCTCAAATAACGAGGGGGGAATTTCCTTGATGTTTCTGCGACTTTTTGGACTGGAGTCTGGATAGTCAGTTAGCTATAAAAACGATCTATACTAGAGATCATTTAGTTAGGATATTTAATAAGTAATACATCTAAACTGGCATCTGTGGCAGAGGGTAAGAATCTAGCATAAATGAATCCTGCTAATAATTGTGAGATTTGGATAGTTACCTAGGTTTCACATTAGTGTTATAAATATTAGTGTTTTATGTATGTCCCAGGAGTTTTTGTTTGATTTATTTTTATACTGTTTGAATTGTCATTGTCATTAACTTGTCATGGTCATATCAGTACTCTACTGTTAAAGAGTCATTTCCTGATCAATACGAATAAAAACCAACTTTTGATTGATAACCTCTCATCTGTAATTGTTCCCACAGGAAGTGAGGTAGAAGGAATGGAGGCTGAGGTCACGCAGAAGGTACCAGAAGTGTTGTGTGAAGCTGCGGGACATGGAGATGTAGCAGGGACTGAACAAGCATCTCTTACCGATGGTGAAAGCACATCAACTCTGACCGCTGCTGTGAGCAATGGAGAGGAAAGTGATGAGGGGAAAGAGATGGTGGAAGTGAAAATCATTTGGAACAAAAACAAATATGATCTTAAAATTCCTTTAGACGGCACCGGTGCTAAGCTGAAAGAGAAGATTCACACTCTCACTGGTAATGTAACTCTCTTATCATGAAAGTTGTGGGTTTTACAGCATAAATATTTTAAAGTCGGCATGAAACAGAAGTTGCCACTGTCTTTTCCTACTTATTGTGAGGTATATCTGAGTAAAACGGCTTCTCGAATGGGAAAAAATGTAGGGCGGGAATGGATGTTTGTGGTTTGCTGTTGGTTGATCTTTAGTGAGTGACAGATTGCAGATCATTAGAGACGAGAAGAGATGACGCTGCATGAGGGAGGGAAAGTTTTGATTAAAGATTATGAGGGCACATTAATAAAAAAAAAAAGATGTGCAAGGATACATCATTTATAATAACTTAAATATGCGCAACTACTAATTTCGACAGAGTTTACTGTATTTATCATTGTAAATTTATAATTTGATGTAAAGATTATGATCAACTGCTTGAAATCAGTTTTCGAAAAACAATTATAAAATGTGACTCCCATCTCCATGAAATTCTTCCGATATTGAAGAGCAGCCAACAGTTTCCAGCATACATGAACAGAATGATCTAAAACACTATCTTGTTTTTAAATGTGGAAAATAGATGTGACATGTCAATAAAATGCGTCATGGTAAGAAACTGACTTTATAATGTTAAATGATATGGAACCAACATGGTATATAAGGATCAGATTTTGAAATTAAATACCTAATACAGTTTTTCTTTTCTTTTTTATCATCATCATTAGGTCTTCCACCTGCTATGCAGAAAGTGATGTACAAAGGATTGCTACCAGAGGACAAGACGCTTAGAGAAATCAAAGTTACAAATGGTGCAAAGATTATGGTAGTTGGATCTACAATAAATGATGTACTAGCTGTAAATACACCGAAAGAAGTTATTCAGCAAGAGGTTAAAGCTGAGGAGAACAAAAAGGAGCCATTGTGCAGGCAAAAGGTGGGAAACTTGTTTGCATAATGTGAACTTTAGCAGTTAAATTACAATGGTATATATGCTTATAATTATACTGATGTACTTATAATTTATAAATGTGCTTGTGGATACTTTTTTCTCAGCAACATAGAAAGGTTTTGGACAAAGGAAAACCAGACGATGTTATGCCATCAATAAAAGGAACTAAGGTAAGCAGAACCCGTGAAACATAAAATATAATTAGATTGTACCAGATTACTGCACACATGCCATACAAAATGAATTATATGTCTATTAAACCTCAGAAACATTTAATGCAATACATTTTAAACTGAATTTCCACTTGTGGTCTCAGACTTTTGGACCCCACTATATGATATTTCATATGGCATTTGTATGGGGTTGGACAATTAAACTGAAACACCTGATTTTCAGACCACAATAATTTATTAGTATGGTGTAGGGCCTCCTCCTTCCCTCCAATACGGCATCAATTCATCTGGGGAATGACAGATACAAGTACCTCACAGCGGCCAGGGGGATTTTGAGCCATTCCTCTTTCAGAATTTGATATTGGTGGATGAAAACGTTTTCTGACTTGGTCCTCCAAAATTCCCCAAAGAGGCTCATAAATATTTAGATCTGCTGAATGTGCAGGCCATGGGAGATGTTCAACTTCACTTTCATGTTCATCAAACCATTCTGTCACAAGTCTTGCTGTGTGAATTGGTGCATTATCATGCTAACCAACAATTTGACGCAAACCAACAATTTGTCCACTTTTGAACTCTGATATGTGTCCCATTCTGTTGTGTGGATTGCTATATTTTATGTACAGCTAATTCAACCTTCAACTTTAATGATGGAATGTAAAATCAGTGAAGATTGGCCGCCAGGTCAAGCATATATCGGCGTGAAACCTCCAACACTATATTGGCCAGTGTCTCAGTTTCATTGTTCAACCCCTGTGTGTGTTTTATGTAAAGTATGTCCGTTTAGTGATCATGTCCGCAACTGTAAAGCTCTTTTTAAGGAGACAGAATAAGTTCCTTGTGCGTGCTAATGACATCCGAGTGATCTCTTATTTGTCAAACAGGAGCGTCTGCCAACAGTGCCTTTATCGGGAATGTACAACAAATCTGGCGGAAAAGTACGACTCACTTTCAAACTGGAACAGGATCAGTTGTGGATCGGAACAAAAGGTGATTTCATCTTTTGAATGAAAATGTATTCGTTATGCTTGCTTTATGCTGATCTTGATCTTTTCTGGCCTGAAGAAAGAACAGAAAAAATCCCGATGGGTTCCATCAAAAATGTTGTGACTGAGCCAATAGAGGGTCACGAGGACTATCACATGATGGTATGTGTTTATCACAACATTTCCAACAAGCTATGCATTATATCATTATATCGGTCATTTTCAACCAGGATTTTGTAACTTTATAATACTAGTGATAAGTGTGCCTTGCGAAAGTATTCGCACCCCTTAAATATTTTCACATTTTGTTATGTTGCTGCATTGTTAAACTAAGTTACTTTTTTTCACATCAGTCTACACTCCATATACACCAAAATGACAAAGCAAAAAACAGATTTGTGACAACTTTGCAAATTTAATTAAAAAAAATTAAACATTTGTGACCTTCTGGGACACTTGAAATGTAGCTCAGGAGTATTCCACTTTTGCTTGTAGATGAATGGGTAGGATTTGGAAAGCCACACACCTCTCAATTGAAGGTCTAACAGCTGAAAATGTATATAAAGAGTGGTGGATGATCATATATGGAGATGGGAGAAATCTACAGAAGGACGAACATCACTTCACTTATCGCTTCACTTATGGCAGAGTGGCCAGACTCAAGCCTCTCCTCAGTGGAGACACATGAAAACCCACTTGAAATTTGTATAAAAAAGCACCTAAAGGACTCACTCAGACTTGAAAGACAAGATTCTCTGGTCTGATGAACCTCAGTTCCAAGCATCATGTATGGAGGAAACCAGGCACTGCTCATCACTTTCACAATACCATCCCAACAGTAAAGTGTGATAAACGCAGCATCATGCTGTGGGGGTGTTTTTCAGCGGCAGGGACTGGGGGACTCATCAGGGTAGAAGGAAAGCTCAACGCAGCAAAATATAAAAAGAGCCTTAATGAAAACCTAGTCCTGAGCACTCAGAACCTCAGACAGGGCAGAAGGTTCACCTTCCAACAGGACGATGACCTTAAGCACACAGCTAAGACAATGCAAGAGTGGCTTATGGACAACTCTGTGAATGTCTTTGAGTGGCCTAGCCAGAGCCTGGGCTTGAACCCAATCGAACATCTCTGGAGAAAGCTGAAAATGGCTGTCCAACCTGACAGAGCTTGAGAGAATCTGAGGGGAAGAATGGCAGAAAATGCAAATGCAAATGTGCAACGCTTGTCGCATCATACCCAAAAAGACTTGAGGCAGTAAAGGTGCTTCAACGAAGTACTTCGTTAAGGGTACAAATACTTATGCAATGAACTTATGTCAGTTTTTCCTTTTTAATACATTTAAAAGTAATTTTTTGCTTGTCATTATGGTGTATGTAGTGTAGAAAAAAAGAGAAAAATTAATTTAACAACAACAAAATGTGGGGAAAAAATGAAGGGGCGTGAATAGTTTCGCAAAGGCACTATATATATTTATAAACAATTTTTTTTTTTTTTTTTTTCACCATAGGCATTTCAGCTGGGTCCAACAGAAGCCTCACAATATTGGGTCTACTGGGTGCCTGCACAGTTTGTTGATGCAATCAAAGACACAGTTCTCGGAAAATGGCAGTATTTTTAACGTGCCTCTATAGACACTGAAGAATTGGGATTCAGAGCAAAAGATTGAAAACAAGATTAACTGGAGCCAACACAATAATCTGAAGAACTGATTTTTCTGAAGTATATCCAGAGCAAACCGAAGGATTGCTGTTGGACAAAATATTTTGGGGGTTTTAAGTGCACTAAGTGTCAGCATCCCGTTTTTCAAACTGTTTCATCATTCGGGTTTTTTTTTTTTTTTTTTTAGAGCAATCTCAAGCATAAACAGAAAATTGTACAGAACTTGCATATACATTTCTCGTAGTTATTCTGAAAGAAATAAAAATTATTTAAGGAAAATGATCAATGCAGTAGAAAGATTTTATCTAGTGTATTCCTCGGTTTACCGTACAACTCGAGCAAACTTGCCAAAGTCGGCATTTCACAAAGTTGTTGATTTTACAATCAGCTTTTGTCATTGGACAGATTATAGTTTACATGTAAAACAGCAATGGTGTAATGCTCAAATATGGAATTCATCCAGGTTGAAAGAACATTGTTGTATTTCATGTGGTTCAAAAAATTCTTCATTTTCCTCAAGACTTGTATTAACACATGGAGAGCTCATCACATATTGAAAGCAGGAGGCTTGTTGCAGAATTTCAACCCTAAAGCCAAGAGTACATATGCTCTGCCTCTGTGCTTTCGACACATTGATCCTTTGAAGAAGGCAATATCTTTTTAATATTTCAAATCAGATGTAACATTAGGCAGAACAGTGTTGATATGCCCTTAATACACAATCGTATAACTAAGTTGCTAATGAGTGACTATTTTGACCATGCATGTTGTTGTTGTTTTTTCAAACGGTGCTAACCAAATACAAACATTTTTATTTCAATAAAGCCCAAAGGAAGGAATAATTTCAGTGAACTCTGAATACTGACATTTTATTTAAACAAATCTAAACTCAATGTATCAGCTCAGTTAACATTCCTCCTAAATCACACATTTTAGCATATACTGTACAGTGTGTATTTAGTTCAAGTAGGCTACATAATTTTTTTAAGTAACCAATTATTTTTCATATTTGGAAAGAATACAGCTGCCTGTAGTTGAGCGTTTTGGTATGTGAATGGGTAACTGAGGGGTAAAGTGTGCCAGTCTCAACTAATAGTGATGAATGGGAATATCAGTACTGTTACTAAATGTGAAAAATAGTTTCACTGCATTCAAATTTTTTTAATATTAAACCATTACACAAGCAAAAGAAGACTTTGGAATGGGATTATGCTTTAATAAGCACTTTAATCTCTTTCATGTTCATATATTTATTTGAAATGCAAACGTCATGTTCTCACTTTTTTTTCCAAGTCATATTTCTATAACCCCATATTATAGACAAGCCTTCTAATTTCAGTTGATAACAGACGTCTAGAAATATAATTAGGCATATTAGTTTTAATTCAATAGGTTATTTCTCCTTCACAGATCACTTTGTTGTGGCAATTTTTGTTTTGCCTCAAATCTTAAAAGAGCTCCTAATTAAATGCATTTATCAGATGTATTATTACAATTGCTATTAAATAAATTGAATATGCATTTTGGTGCTTGGTTTTAGAAGTCCTATTGCTTTTCAAAAATCTGCTGTCGTCATGCATCACAGGTGTAGATCTTCGTTTTAAGGGGTCATATAATAGTACATGCACTTTTACAAGTTGATTGTACTGAAATGTGTGTTGGCAGTGCCTGTACACAACCATCATATACTGATAAAAATCCATCCAGTGTTTATTTTTTAATCTCCTTATATGTTTTCCCCAGTCTCAAATCGAGCCGTTCGACCGTATGACGTCACACGGTCGGACGCCCCTCCCACGATTGTTGATTGACAGCAGCGTTTCAACACAGACTCGCCCTGAGCGAGCTGTCATCATAGTCCGTCATTGTTGATACGCTGGAGCAGAATGGCGTCTAAGCAATTGTGGTGTTCTGTTCTTGGGTGTAATAACGAACACAGCAGTCATTTTAATGTTCCTAAATCCGAACCGCCGAAGACGCAGTGGCTGAGTTTGTTTTCGAAGGGAATATTCCCCACGATCAACGTCAATGCTTTCATGTTTGCGCAAATCATTTCTCACCAGACTGCTTTATAAACGAGGGTCAGTATAAAGCGCGTGATTTTTTTCTTCCCAAACCACTTCAGCGGAAATCCCGCCCTGCAGCCGATTTCATTGGTTTAGGTTACACAGTGACGGGTAGGTTTAGGGATCAGTGTTTGGTGTGGGCAATCAGTACAGTGATTGACATGACCAATGAAAACTTTAGAATCGGCTGCAGGGCGGGATTTCCGCTGAAGTGGTTTGGGGGAAAAAATCACGCGTATAAAGCTGGTTTTGCTAAGAAGCTGCTCCTGAAAAAAGAATCGGTACCAACTATTCGTGTTCCTGCTGAATCTCCAGAAGAAGTGAGTGTAAAATTTTATTAACCTTTATATTAATCTTTGCAAATCGCTTGCACGCTTCACAATGAATGCGGCTAAGGTTTACACGCAGGGTACATTACGGCATGTTTTCTATGTACAACGTTCTCAATATAATTCATAATCCCACGTTTATAATGAAGAACGCGTTATGGTTATTGTGTTATTACATACTGTGTACGCATGTGTTAAAGTTAACGTGGTAACACTACACTAAGCTTACTTTTGTAGATGGTTTATAACGGTGTCTGTTACTGATTAAGAAGTAATGTCAAAATATCAAATTGATACGGTTGCACAGATGTGTCCTCAGAAACTTCCACTGCCATTCTTTCTCAAATATACCCTCAACTGTTGTCAAGGCAACACTCCACGTGAGTTGTCAAAACGCCCCACAGAACAGAGGGGCAGTGTGAGCGAAGCTCATTATCATTTAAAGACACATGCACTTAAATGGCGTGCTGAAACAGCTGTTTTTGACCAGGTAAAATGAGGTATTGTATTTTCTTACAATACTAATGAGAATTTTTAATTAAAGTATATTACAAACTTTTCATTTAGACCCTAAAGAATCAATCAATCAATCAATCAACTTTTATTTAAGACAGAGAGGTCCATAGAAACAACATAGTACATATATGTATATATATATAAATGTAAAACAATACAAAACAATTAAGAATGATGCGGATGAGGCATCATTTATAAAACATATACAGGCTTCGGGTCCAATGTTTCCAAAAGCAAGATGTATACCTTGTGTCACTCTTAGAAACATCAGCTATGGGCAGAATGATCATAATCTTAGACCCTGTCAGTCTGCACATTAATCTATACATAAAAATTCTTAAAACAGCGTTAGAAGTAGGCCCATTGTTAGACACAAACATGTCACTGGCACTACTCCACCGAGGATTTTTAATTCCTCATCACAGAGGTCATCATCACAGAGGTCATCTCTTATCACATGTCCCAGATATTTAACTTTCTTTACAACCTCTAGTGGTTCACCTGCCAATAGGAAAGAAGGATAGACACTTCATATCCTCCTTGGTTCTGGCGATCAGTACCACACTCTTCATTGAGTTAAATTTTATATCAAACATTAGTCCATATTGAGAGCATATTCTAAGCAGTTGCTGCCGGCCAGCACTGGAGGGAGACAGTACCACCAAATCATCAGCATAAAGCATATGATTAATGAGACTATCCCCCAAAGCAGCCAGTTCTACAGCCCTTTAGCTCCCTAGATAAATTATCCATGTACAGATTGAAAAGCAGCGGAGACAGAATTCCGCCCTGCCGCAATCCATTGGAGACATAGAAGGGTGTTGACAAATTCATCCACCACCTGACTTGCATAGTTTGGTGAGAGTACCAAAACTGCAGTATCCTGATTAGGTAAGAGGGGACACCACGCTCATGTAGTTTACCAAACAGTTTCCCATGGTTGATACGATCAAAAGCCTTTGACGCATCCAGGAAACACATGAAGACATTGCGTGATCTGTACGGACAATTTCTTTAAGTGCATAAATGCACAGATCAGTTCCATGCTTGTTCTTAAAACCAAACTGATTATCCGTTGAATCTATGTATTCTGCAAGCCTATCTATAAGGATCCCTTCCAGTACCTTAGATAATGTACTTGGAAGTGCAATAGGTCTATAGTTATCTAGTTAATTTACCAGTCTTATTTTTAAATACAGGTACTAGCAAGACAGATAACATGGATCCAGGAAGTATGCCATGCTTCATTAACCCAGAAAAGCATAGAGCAAGTAAAACTGAAGTACTTTGACTAGCGTATATTTCAAATGTTCTGCTGTTATTCTTTCCCGCCCACAGGCTTTGTTCAATTTAAGTTTGTCAATTAGCATAACATACTTCCTCCGGCCTGATGACTACACCATCACTGTGAGGTATCTCTACTATGTTAAACACATCGCTCTTCACACAGTTAAAAAATTTCTCATAGTGTTTCCTCCATAGCTCTGCAATGTTTTCAGGTTCAGTAATGCCATCAATACTAGAAGGCAGTGGCATTTTGCTGTTGTTAACCACTTTCACCTCCTTCCAGAACTCATAAACATTATTACTTTGTAACTTTCTCGCCATAGAGTTCGCCCTCATAGTCTGCTCATTTCTTTTTATAAAACGCACAGCATATTTGAACCTAGTATTAGACCGTACCTTGTGCTCACAGACTGGGCCATAGGTTTGCCTGCTAAGACCCATCTTCTGCCTCTATATGAATATCATGGACATAGTCATTCCACCCTGGTCTTACAATATGTTGTTTCACTTCTTAGTGGTTCACTTCCATCAACTAAACAGTTCACAATTCTATCATACATTAAACATAGGTCATTATTGTGACTTACATTCTTACAGCTGCTATCCACACACATAATTGCATCAACAGGTAACTCAATATTTCTCAAGTGCTCATCAGTCAGTAACTCGTAATATTGCAGGTCGTCTTCTGTGAGCCTAGTCCAGTCCAGTATCTCACCTGATTTATGGCTGTCACTATAGACAAGCTTAGGTAGACCCTTAATATTTATGAACATAGAGACAGGAATATGGTCTGCTGTGGCCAAACCATATAGGATCTCAGCCTCCTTTATACAATCATGTGCATCAGCTGTAGATATATAATGGTTTTGTATCATATTATACAATGGTAGCAGCCGTATAACCATCACTTTGTAACTGGGTCTATGACTTTTTAACAAAAAGGCCACAGACTGTCAAAATCCATGGCATTTCATCTTCATCTATCATCCTTAACACCGGCTCCCCCCAGAGATGTGTCCTGAGCCCCCTGCTCTACACGCCATTAACATATGACTGCTAAATATCCAGGCAGTCATATTGT